ATATAAAAAAAGACAAAAACGTCATATTATGACAATTGGGGGGCGGCCATTTCCAGAATAGTCACAGTTATTAGAAGTTTTTCAGTCCTGGAGTAATAAGGCCAGGTTCTATTCTTTTAATTATTTTTATTCTTTACGAGAATAAAGTCAGGAGAATGAAGCCAAAGGCATATGAAAATAAACTCGTAAGATTACAAACATAGAAATATTATGAATATGAAGTAAACTCTGAGATTAGTGCCAGTCGATTTGACACATTCAACATGGCGGACGCTTTGACTCATTTTCAGCATAGACAGACTCCGTCCAACGAGGCGTCTATGTATATAAGGTTTATGGCTACTAAGATCTGGCCATGCCTGAACTCCTCCTCATCTGACTCCAAAATATTCTTAATTGTGCAGAGTCCTTTCATGCCATCATAACCAGAAGTAAATATTTATTTTGGACTCATCAGAAATGTATTACACAATTATTTGATCTACTTTTTTTCAGTAAGATTAGTGCTGTTATTCTGCTATACAGTAGATGCTCTGCTGATGCCTTATTGTTGATTTAAAACCATTAACTATGACCTTTGACCTTTATCCTTCTGTCTCTCGCTCATCAGGAGGAAATGATCATGAAAATAGTCAACGATCCAGACTGTCAGCTAAAGGAGTTCACGCACTCTTACAAGCGCAGCGCTCTGGTCCTCATCCTAGTAACAGTCATGGTAAGACACACACACACACACACACATTCTCATCTTGCTATATGTAGTGAGGACCATGTGTTTATTTTTCAACCGTGTCTATCCCTTAACCCTGGGAATAACCCAGCCATGAGCAGTGCATGCCTCACTCTAACCCCCCGGTTCCACTAGATGTGGAAGTGCCATGGTGTGGCTGCACTGCGCCTTCACATCTGATAGCAGCAGCTCTAGTACGCCAGAGCGCTTCCAATCAGGGCGCCTCAGTCCATTTCTGAACCGATCCTGATGCTCTGATGCTCAGCGTTTCTCTAAAATGCACTCCGCTCGCCGCACAGAGTCCACACCAGTCTGGAGCAGATTGGGTCGTTCAGCCGAGAGGTCGGTTAATGAAAATGAAAGTGGAACTGCTCAAGTTTATAAGTAAATGGCTTCATCTACAGAAAGTGGATCATATATCCTGGACTTTTATATTATGAAGAAAATCTGTTTCTACAGTTAATCCAGGGTTTCCGCAGGTCCTTAAGAAAGCATTATAAGTCATTAAATACATTTTTTTTAGAATTAAGGCCTTGAATGGCATTAAAAATTCATTAAATGCGATATCAGTAGCATTAAAATTCTCCTCTTTTTTTCAAAGAAATACGTTTGTAAAATAGTACTAACAGATATGTTATATCAGATATATGTGGTTTGGCGTGTTTGGTTCCGTACAAAAATGCAGAACTGCTTCTGGTTATTTGTAAAGACGTATGTTTGGAAAGAGGTGTAGCAGCCTGAGGCTAAGAAAAGGCTAGAGAATGGGGGGAAAAATGCAAATTTCAATAGAAAAATTCGGGGCTGCAGTTTGTTGACGGTTAAGATGACAAAGGATGTAGGCCTCAAAAAAATAAATAAAAATAAATCAAGCTTGGCACAATAGGTGTCAATGCTTTACAATGGCACAGGCAGTGGGAAAGCTACAGATTACCTGCATGGGATAGAAAACTGCTAACAATGTCAAGTTACTTTTCTGTAACCATTTAACAAAACGTAAAATATTATGTGTATATATACCTCTAAGGTCGTCAGAGTAAATAGGTCAGATGAGGCAATACGATCCTCCATAAATACACAAACAAGTCCAAACAGATGACAGACTGGCTGTGACGCTCCAGCTCATACCTGAAGCATCCGTAACGTCACACAGCTGTTTATAGAGGGGCTGGAGGTTTTACCATCCGTCATTCAGAGGTGCGTTTAAATGTCACTGGGAGGAGTTGGAAACAGACCAGTTACTGCTTGGTATCACAGGATTATCCAGTCTCTGCTGAGAAAACGAAATACCGACTGTTTTCTGAAGGGTTTTGATTATTTTCAACCAAAATACGGGCCTTCCAATTGATTTAAGAAAAGAAGGAAATACATTTTTGCTGCCATTTATTTCCTTCCTTTTAGGCTTAGTTTTATTAATTCCTTTATTTTAACTCTATATGGCTCAATTTGGGCATCTGATGGTTAATGAGGGATTCTTTGACCTCCAAAAGTCTTCATGTAGAAAAATATTTTCCCAGCAGAGACCTTCTTCAGGCTGAAGTGAAGATCCCTGATCTCCAATCTAAGCAAAGGAACCAGAGGCTCTGCTCTTTGTCAGGAACCGGTCCTGGTTGCTCTGCATCTTCAGGGTGGAGCTTAGAGATTCTGGCAAAAACTCTGATTTCTCTGGCTACAAAAAGTGAAAGTTAAATTGAAGCAAAACAAAGCAGCAATTGAGAACAACATGTTGAAGCCAGATTTAGTTTTATAGCATTTATGTTCCAAAGCATAAATCAAAATAAAACCGGATTTCACTCAGCTTTTAATTTGGACAAAGAAGAAACCTTTCTGCAGCTCTGCTGTGATCTAGAGCAAAGACCAATTTCGACAATGTTTTGATGTTAGTACCGTTTATCGTTTCTGAGTAAAGTTGAGTAAAATACAGGCTTGTGTTGGAATTACTGATCCAAGACTTCCTGTGAATACACCAACAGGGACCAGGTAATCTGACAGAAGTGATGTTTTTCATAATGCTGCGTCACGCTTTTTCCCAGTTGGGGTCGCGAAGGCTGCTGGTGTCTATATCCAGCTGTCTACAGGCGAGAAGCGGGGTCCACCCTGGACAGGTCTCCAGTCCATCGCAGGGAAACGGAGACAAAAAGGACAAACCACCATTCACACACATTCACACCTAAGGGGACTTTAGAGAAGCCAACTAACCGAACAGTCTTGTTTTTGGACTGTGGGAGGAAGAGAGAACCCACGCATGCTCAGGCAGAACATGCAAACTTCATGCAGAATAACACCGGACTGGGAGTCGAACCTTCTTGCTGTAAGGCAGCAGTGCTACCCACTGCTCCACTGAGCATAGTGGGTAGTGAGAGCACCCACATTTAAAAGTATCTATTTAACAGATAAAGCTACTTAGACTGATAGTAAATAATACATGCATAATAACATAGATTGTGTATTTTTATATATATATTTTAAGTTGACCATAGCAAGATGATTGTAGTTACCCTTTTAGGATACAATGACACCAAGCTAAATTATTCCAGTTAATAAGTTTATTTCTATAGCTCTGATTCATAACATTAAGGCTCTTTGCAGAGACAGTTGAGTCGGGTCATAAAGTCAGATTGTTTTTTTTTAAACAAAGATCATAAAATGCTGAAAATGTTCCTAATTTAGAGAGGATGGTAATATTTTAGTTTCTTTCGGCTGTGTTTCTGTCTGTAATTCACATTACCCTAAATGACTGAAGCATCAAAATAACTGATGGGAGAATCAATTTTAAAACCTTGAAATAATAACTGATAATTAAACTTTATTGATCTCATTTAATCCTTGGGGAGCAGTGGGCTGCCATCATGGGGCGCACGGGTAGCAGTATGGGGTTGAGGGTCTTTGCTCAGAGACCAAGTGTGGCAGTCTGTGGGAGTGGGGCTTGAACTCTAAACCTCAGGATTCCAAGCTCTATGCCCTAACCTCTAGGATGCCACTCCCCTTAACCTAAATATGGTATATGGCACTGATGTCTCAGCCACCTTTAGTTAAACAGAACATGATGTAGCTAACGGTGCGTTCAGAGCAAATGTATCAAGTGATTTACATGTTTTCTCCATTTAAGGCGCCTTCAGCAACGAGGCTATGTGGGCGGTGCAAATTAGGGCGATTGGAGCAAAGTGGAAGAGCGATAGGCGCGTTCAGACTGCCATCTGGGGATGTGAACCCACAGCGTTTATTCAGTCCTATCTGGGCTTCCTACTTCTTTCAAAGCTTTATGGTAACAGCGTTATACACAGGAAAAAATCCAAAGCTAGTCATTTTCAAATTGTGGTTCAAGTTCTATTAACTAAATAATTAATGGAATTAAAAGAAGTGCTTCACACTGTATTTTTATATTAAAGTGCCTTCAGATTAATGGTAGTTGATGCCCCAGACCGATGCAAAGGCTGCAAATTTGATGATTAGAGTAGGTCTGACAGACGGATTGACTGAAGAACTGTAAGCAGGCGCGGTTGGGATGAAGAGCAGTGGGGGGAAAAAAGGCTTCTTTCAATCAAATACTCCCCAGATGTTGCTGCAGAACAGCAGCTCTTGGCGCTGCTTCCTGGACAGACGGAGTTACGCAGTGATCATTTATCTGCAGGTGGTGGTTCTGCATTGACCGATAATTCATGAAGTTCTTAATGTCTTTTCATTGCTTCTAGCAGAGGATCATCTCTCCTGTCTCATTAGTTTTCATTCATTTGATGCCAGAATCCTGTGCAAAAAGCTTTATTTGTTTATGGGTTTTTTTTTTACTTTAGAGCTATGCAGACTCTTCTGTCCTGTAAAACATCCCAGAGGTCTTTTTGACTTTCGAGTTTACTTGTTTTAGGGCAGAGTATGATATGTCCTTCATATTTAAACTGCCATGAATTGTCCGAGAGCTGTTGTTGCCCTGAACGCCTCACGTAGACTGTAATCACCAACAATAACATAAACAGTGAATACACTCTGTGCATTTCTACAACACTATCTGCAATATTCTTGTATGCAATACTCCTATTTCTGTGTAAAAATGTAACTGCACAGCCTGTTTCTGTCTTTTTTATAATATTCTTTTTATTGCACTATTTGCCTGTATTTTATATTGATAAAATCAGTCCACTTTGGGAAGTTGGGTCCTAGTGGTTGGAGTATAGAGCTTGGAATTTTGAGGTTCTGTGTTCAAGCCCCACTCCCACAGGCTGCCACTCTGGGTCCCTGAGCAAAGACCCTTAAGCCCACATTGCTCCCTGGACACTGCACAATGGCAGCCCACTGCTCCCCAAGAGGATGGGTTAAATGCAGAGAGTCCATTTCGTTGCTCTGTACTTGTGACTGTGTAATGACTATAAAAACACTCAAAAAATCTAATCAAGTAAATTAAAATAAAATTAGCAAATAAATTAAATTAAATGGCGTTAGGGTTTCCATATCTCATTCAGCACCATGACCCACTCAGTGAAATTCTGTTACACCATATTCTGTAACCGGCTACTGATGGATGACGCTGTGAGGCAGACTGGGGGGATTTTAATGCGGTGTCTGCGTTGGCCGTTTGTGGGAGAAAGGTGAAATGTCAACATCAAGCGAACCACCAGAATTTGACTTGTAAAGAAAGAAGACATTGATGATGTGCATGTAAGAACCTGATGCTTAGGGACTATTTTATAGTAGGTCACCTTATTCTGCTGTTTTATTCTGATTAACAGTTCTGATTGACTCAATGTTATCATAGAAAAGTTTAAATGGAGAAAAAATGAGCTAAATGTTTGTTTTTGTGTTTTTGTTCCACAGCTGATGGTGATCATCGGCATCACTCATTTTCTTGTGGTGGTTCGAGTGATTGCCGCCCCCTTGATGTCAGAAAGCAAGTGGGAATTTATGAGCGAACACTCAAAGACTCTGGCTGTGCTGCTGGGCGCAGTGGTTCATTACGTCACCATTCAGATAATGACCAAGGTACGTCTGACGCTTTATTCACACTTTACAGATGTCTAAGTGCAGATGCCCAGACTTCCCAATCCACACACACACCACCTCCAGGGTACACCCAGCCCCCCTGCGAAGGAAACTCATTTCGGCCGCTTGTATTTGCGATCTTGTCCTTTCGGTCATTACCCAGATCTCATGACCATAGGTGAGGGTGGGATCGCAGATCGATCGGCAAATGGAGAGCTTTGCCCCTCGACTCGGTTCCCTCTTCACCACGACAGTCCAATACAGCCACCGCATCACTGCCGTTGCCACACCAACGATTCGCATATCGATCTCACACTCCATCCGTCCCTCACTCGTGAACAACACCCTGAGGTGCTTGAAATCCTCCACTTGAGACAAGGACTTCCCACCGACCTGAAGAGGGGAGTCCACCTTTCTCCGGTGGAGAACCATGGCCTCCTCATTCCGGCCGCTTCACACTCGGCTGCAAACCGCCTCAGGGCCACCAGGAGGGTTTGATGAGGCCAACAGGACAACATAATCTGCAACAGATGCAACAGATAATCTGCAGAGATGATAGGACTTTTGTCCTCCCTTACCTCCAGCTCAGAGCCCGGTCAGTTGCTGCCACTCTCCAGGACACATGCTTATTCTGTGCAGGTGGAGCTACAAGGAAGTCCTGCCGAATCAGACATTCATCCAGATTCAGCTCTGGAAGAACCAAAGTCATCTAATTTTTTAGCACTTCTTGGCTGTTTAAACCTTGTGGATGTAGAACCTCTTATTACCCGATCCGATGAAGATGGCGTGCACAAAGGAGGAAACACATTTAAGCATTAACAGAATTTATTCCAGTCATATTTAACAAAATCATTGATACAAGCACAAATTGCAGCGGAAGATCTCACCTTCTATCAGGCCTTCCTATTGGCCATTTCAGGGAAGAACCCACTGGAAGGTAGAGAGCTTCTGCCCACTTTTCCTTTTTACCTAAAAGTCATCCAGGAAGTGTCTCACCCAAAAGCCCCCAGTCAGCATCTAGGCCTTCTCACACAGCCTACAGCATTACCATATAAGGTGATGCTCTGGCCACCATATGTATGCATAGAAACGTCCATTTTGGCTGACCCACACAGCAGAGTGAACAGATATTGAAATAAACAGATGTAACAGTTATTTAAAACATAAAATAAAATAAAAAGAAATTTATCTTCAATGAATCCATGGTCTCTTCAAGCCGATTCAGATGTGCATGGAGAACAATTTAGCAGAAGTCTCTAACATTAAGTTTCCCCTGTGCTTTTATTGTGAAATGCCGACAGCGACACCTTGACAGGAAATTTCATGAGGTTTCCAGGGGTAACAGTTTGAAAGTGAAGGATCTGGGAGGCTGATAAACTACTGACTATTGTGAAACATTATTCCAGCCACTAAAAATAAGGTAAACATGCCCACTGCTATAGTCAATGCACAGGAATGCCATGTTATGCTATGCAATAACTTTATATTGAAAATGGACAATATAAACATCTGGTTTAATGGTGATGTAATCGGCCAAAATAAAAAAAATTATATTTAAAAAACAAAAACAAATGACAGTTTCAGCTGCAAAAATTAGACTAAAGTAAAAAAGTCGACCAGTTTGGTTCATTTCAGGGCTTAATAGGGGGATGTTGACCTCTGGATGACCTAAAAAAATTATCTTTAAAATCTGTGAATCCAAAGGAGCACAAATGATCATTTTGCCTGCGCTAATAAATCACTAACATTTCAGTCTTTTCGCTCAGTTTTTCCACCTGGGTAAGGCGTTAACTTTAAGCATTCCCCTGCATCTAAAAAGCAGAACGGTGAACTCATCGCGATGCTCAGGGAAATCACCACGGACACCGCGTTCAGTCTGAACTCACTTCAACACCACAAACCTGTGACTAGGGTTGCCACCCGTCCCTTGAAAAACGGAATTGTTTCGTATTTAGAAATAGAAGAACCTGTCCCGTATTTGGTGGAAAATACTTTGTCCCGTATTACTGTGGGGGGTCGAACGGAGTAATTTAAATGCTGATGGTGCTTTTAGAGGCAGATAACTCTTCACTTCTGCAAGAGCTCAGATGAAATACAAATGGAAAAAGTAGGCTATCGCCACATAATGTGGCATTGAGCTAATGATGATTTTTTTCTGTTTTACAACTTTAGCCTACAGTCATTGCATTTACGGCACAAATATGTTTACAAGTTTGCTGTTGCACCAAAAATGTGCACTTTATTTGTGCAATTTATTTATTGCTTTATGTTCATTTTTACAGCTTGAAGTTAAGCAGGGGAGGCTCATGTTTAGGATACTTATCTTATTCAGCAAAGTTTGTGATTTTGTATTAAAGTGAATTGCTTTAGTTTTACCAGGGAGTTGGCAACCCTACCTGTGACTGAAATGTTTACGTCCTTCTACAATTTATTTTAATGATCAAATCATTTATTCATTTTCTTGACCCTGATCTTAATGCTTATTTTATCGTCCCTCATGGTTGTTTTTGTTTCATGCAATCTGCAGGTCAACAGATGGGTGGCCCAGAAGCTGTCATATTTAGGTGAGGGCGTGTGCGTGACGTCTTTTACGAAGCGGTTCTTTTAGGGTGAGCGTTGTCGTCACTGTTGTGTGTTTGTTCTCCTCAGAAAAGCCGAACTCATTCGCTGCCAGAGAGAGAAGCTTCACCATCAAGATGTTCACCTTCCAGTTCTTCACTCTCTTCTCATCTCTGTTCTATATAGCTTTTTTTCTGGGCAGGTATGGAGCGGCTGGAAAGTCCATCACACCAAGAACACAACGCATGCCTCCTGCTCCATTTCTTCTTTACATGTTTCAGATATTTTCAGGGATAATTTTTGTCTGTTTCATTTGATTTTTATCCATTTGGAAAGTAGATTTAAATATTATTGGTTCCACTTTGTGAGTCAATCACTAAGCTAAAGGTTTTCTTGCCTCCCATCAGGATAAACGGCCACCCAGGAAACTACGTGCGCCTTGCAGGGTATAGACTGGAGGAGGTGAGATGTTGTCTCTGGTTCTCCCTGTCGTACTGGAACAGCACCATAGATTGTAAACCCTAACGTGTCGCCTGTCTTGCAGTGCCATCCCAGTGGCTGTTTAACGGACCTCTTTATCCAGATGGCAGTCATCATGTTGCTCAAACAGACCATCAACAACATCTTGGAGTTCAGCGTGCCGTGAGTGGGGTGTTCTGTATGAACGTGGTTCCAGTATGGGAACCAGCAGCTTCTCCAATTCTCCAACTGTTCGTCTTGCAGGTGGGTCAAGGGCTTCGTGAGAAAGAAAACGGCGAAGCGGCTGAAGAGAAACTGCGGTCGCTGTTACAGGAAAGCTTGCCGCGACAATCGGAAAGATATTGAACCGTGTGATACTTGCAAAATTCGAAACTGGCTGAGGAACTACCACCTGGGCAACACCGACGCCTTCAGCCTTTTCAATGAGTTCTTGGAAATGGGTAGGTCTGCTGACGACACCGTAACAAGGAGCCGTTATAGTACAGACGGAGGACAGCTTATCTGTGATTAGTGATGAACAGGGCCTGTCTGTTGGAGCTTCAGGTCAACTAATGACAAAACACATAATTTTATACTTCCTTTATCCCACTTGGCTTAAAACCCAAGCTGTTATGCTTTCTGAAAGTCCATGACTAGTTGAACATGTTGGGCGATAAATTATGTAATTCTATTAACTTAACAATTAAAATTCAATTCAGTTTATTTATATAGCGCAAATTCACAACACACATCACTACCAGATCATACAGTCAGATATTCAAAGTTTTCTATTTAAGGAAAAACAAGTTGATTGCATCGACTCATTGACTCAAATGCAATCCCTCACACTAAGCATGCTTGTAGCGACAGTGGAGAGGAAAAACTCCCTTTTAACAGGAAGAAACCTCCAGCAGAACCAGGTGTTAGTTCGTGATACATAAAAAATGAATAAATAAATAAAAAAAATAAATAAAAAGCATGAAAATATTCGGCCATATTTCTCACCCATGAATGTCTCAATTTTTCATCTATGCAATGCATGCTGGGTAGATGGTGGGGTCTGACTGGACTGAAACCTACAGAGTAACACGGGAAGGCTAACATTAGCACAGCTGTTTGTATTGTATTGAGTTTGGTGTATATGTAGAGAATGAGCCATTATACATGAGAATTGTGCTGAAACCAATATATATATGATTGGCTTGTGATCTACTATTTACTTTATTAGCCAGAGCTAACACCATTAGCAGAAGCTAACATTAAATCAAAATCCAATCTTAAGAAGATAATGATCTACTGTTTAAAGTGACATTGAAGCATCTTTCAGTTGTACTGTAACTCTTCTTTCTAATATATCTGAGAATTGTTTTTTATCCTGACGCTAACTGCTAACATAAATTGACCAGATTTCTGCAATTTAATCTGGGGACGTTTCCAGCTCGTAGATGAAAATGAATGGATATCAGAAAAAAATTAAAATAGGAAACAGGGATGGTGATGCTTTCATCCATTTTTACATATTTATTAATATTTAAACAACAAAAATCAAGTGTAAAAAAAAAACAGCCAAACAACTTATAACACTACTTTAAGTAACTAACTATATGAATATATAAACCAAAGGTCACCAATCAGTTCTAAAAACATCTTTAGATGAACCATTGTTGATCCCTGGAGAACCACTGAACCAGATTAGTGCCTTACAAGATGTTTTAGAGTTTTCAATCATTCTGTTTCATTTTATCAAAGTCTAGTTCCTCCTGCCAGCTGCAACCAATGGTTTGTCTTACTTTTTGTTAATTAGCCTGGTTTATGTTAAATTTGCGGTCCTCATCTTTAGTGAAACAAAAGTCCTTTTTTATTAACCTGGGCGTGAACCAAACATTTATCAAAATGATTAGCCCATTTCAAATCAAATGAACTGATTAACACACTCAACATAACACAGAACAGCTGCGACTGGTTCTGGGAACGTACTTCCTCATCTTTTTAAAAGTCATAGAGAAATCATATTTGGACTTTAGATCATTTATAAACATGTATATAAATTTACTCTTTTTTTAGACGATATTGTCCCAAAATTTAGAAAATTTTTATAAAAAAAAAAAATAAATAAAAATCCTGTCTTAAAATCTGTGGGGTTTTTTCCCGTTATTTTATGCAGGCCAGTTAGTTGTACATCAGCCTGTACACCTAAATTTGGCCAATCATATATGAACGGTCATCTATCAATCAAACGTCTTCGGTCATATCATCTTGAATCATATGTCGCAGCTAATATACGCAACGGTTGAAATAAGAATTTTTGCAGAGTAGAGGTGACCGTTAGAGGTGTATAGTTGGAGAGCAAATTGTTGGCCGTTTCTGAATTGACTAGAACGTGAGTACGGACTTGTGTCCTCGCCAAGTATGTTCTTGAGAAGAACGCAGGAAAGTGTGGACTCTGGGAGAACGGGAGCATGCAGCATAAATATGGGTCAATTGGAACAGAAGCGTACTGATGACGCCATCACACGCTCTGCTCGTCTGGAGCTGCATTTCACCTCCTGTTATTAATAGTCTCTAGATTAGGGTGGCCAGATGTCCGGCTTTAGGGCGGACAGTCGGGATTTTCATTGCACTGTCCGGCGTCCGGCGCTGCACCCAGCCGGACGTGTATTTGTCCTCCTTTACCCCCAGATTCCACATACTCCGTCAGCGCTCCGCCCCGCTCACGTACGTCGTGCAGAGTACTTGTCTGTAATGTAAATCAATGAGTGCTATAGAAATGGCCACCCTACTCTAGATAGTAATACATTCTGACATTTAGTGGGGGAATAATAATGAACACAGTTTGATAAACACAAAGCAAATTAACATTTTGCCAAATAAAACTAAAATAGCATCATCATGCCATCAGAGCCAGCGGTCCTCGGAGCTCGGCTGGTTGCCACGGTCCTCTCAACTTCGGAACATTTTCTTTTTAAATTACGCATTAAATCTGTTAATGGGCCAAATGGTGGTGCTTTAAAGTATAATGTCCTCACCTCAAATGATCGTGAAACATACTTTTATTGAACAAAAGCAACAGAAAAGAGAACTTTTAACTTAATACTCTGAGCTCTGTGAGCGCTTTATTCAAAGGAGACGGAGGAGACTCATCCACGACCTCTGACACAAAACTCTCCTCCTCTTGCTCTTTCCACTGTCCATAGCATTCCTTGACAGTGTCGTTTGTAAGTCACCAATTTAGTGCTACTTGGTTCAAATGTAATTTCCCATTGGAAGCCTACTAGCACTAAGTTGCTAACTGGTTAGCAAGATGCTTCCGAGAAAACGGCCACAATTAAACTTGCTTGTGAACCTTCCGCCACAACAATCCCATCCCCTTGATAGATGACCAATCACATTCACTTTATTCACTCCTGTAAAGTCGGGCACCACTCGGAAGAATTCAGAAATGCGACGGTTGGAACAGCCGCTTCCCTACAACTTTAAAAGTGGTGCGCTCTGCTCCTCATCTATTACGAGCTCACAAAGCGTGAAACATGTTCATGCTCTTTCTACCGTAATAAGAGTCTACACGCAACATTTATCTCTTCATTTATAAAGCAGTTAAATCAGGGACATTTCCAGGGACAGCTTTAGCCGTGGACAGGTGGTCCAAAACGGGGACTGTCCCCAGAAATTGGGGACGTCTGGTGTCCATGTTTTATCTACATTCTCTCTTTAGAAAAAATGAAGACACAAATTCCACTTTTATTAGTGCAGTTGTCATCTCCAGACAGAAACGTAATAAATTACTTCTTCCCAGCGAAAGCTAATAGTTAATTTCTCACTGATCTCAGGGAATTTCAACCATTGATCATTTGCCAATATCTTTATCCTTGGTTGATAATAGTATTGACCTGCATTTGACCATCCGTACAGTTTTTGCATTCTTTTTTTTCCATGTTTCCTGTATTTTTGATCTTGCTCTTTTATTGTCTGCTCATGTTGCTCACTCCTCTCTTCGCTCTGCAGTGATCCAGTTCAGTTTCACCACCATCTTTGTGGCAGCATTCCCGCTGGCGCCTCTTCTGGCGCTCATCAACAACATCCTGGAGATCCGGCTGGACGCCATCAAGATGGTCCGCTTGGAGCGGCGTCTTATTCCAAGGAAGACAAACGACATTGGTAAGGATGAGGAACAAGTTTTCCAAAAAAGTTTTTAAAAAAATCAATCCACTTGACTTTGTTTCCAAGTTTGAAGACGTTTTGCTTCCCATCCAGGAAGCTTTTTCAATTCAAGATGTCAGAAATAGCGTTGAGTTTGAGGCTTTATAGGGTGGATAAAAAACATAGCCTTGTTTTGGCTTAGAAAACATGCAAATTGAAACGGATGAACGGGTCTGCCATTTTGGAATGGGGGCTGTTTGGTTTCTTTGTTATTGTGTAATACCCGATACCTGTCTATGCCAAATAACACTAGAACTCCCAAGGCTGTCATTTTGATGGTTCTGAGATTTTAGAGTGGAAGAACTTTATTTACATTAATCATATGTTGGTCAAGTTAACTGACTTTTCCTGTTTCTATATTTCCTTCATTTTCACGTAGTAATAAAAATATAAAACGTAAATATGGTTAATTTTACCTTGATCTCCCACAGCCGTCATTTTGACAGCTCTGTTAGTTGCATTGTAAATTCTTCCCGCGGTTCATTTACTTTCGGTACCATTGCAGCAACTAACATTCTGCCCAGAACGCTTTGGCTAATGTGGAAAAATGACTTTCAGAAGAAATCTAACTGGAAACAGGCTTTAGAAATGCTTCAAAAAATGAATGATAGTGATTTGGGCAGAGAGGGAGAGACAGATGAGGAGGACTGGGTAGAAAGCGTCTCTCTCTGACAGCGAGTCCGAGGATGATCGCCTACCCACTGGAATACACAGACGTATTGATGACCCATCAGACAATAGTTAAACTTTTGTTCAAGGTTTGGATAGCACTGCCCACACCTCAACCGGTTCACTCAGCATCCCAAAAGCCAAATCAGAGCCTCCTTTCTACAATAATCACACACAGGACGGCGTGGATGTGTCGGATCAGATGATTAGAAAGTATTCTGTAAAAGCTCGAAAGCGAAGCTGGCTTGTTGCTGTATTTTACGATGTCCTTGACATAGCAGCTATAAATGCGTTGGTTTTCTCCAGGAGCTGTTTGAACGTCATTGTCTCGTGCAGAGATTTTATCCTAAAACTGGTAAAAAAGTGGCAGGCAAGCCGCAGGTTACCAATCCCTCTCCCTCAGTAGAGTCAGCTTTGGCGAGGCAAAGAAAACAGTGAAGCACTGCAACAAAAAAGGCTTATAATCGGTTTGTCATAACTGTGAAAAGGTGGTGTGCAGGAAATGTTCGAGGTTAATCAATCAATTTCTGTAAATAAAATTCTAATTAAACTTCAAACCTGTGTAGTAAAACAGTCTACAAGTATTTTACTGATTCATTTTTAAAGTTTTAGGGAAGCGGCT